CCTGTGTGTTCATGTATGTGTGCATGCATGTGTGCTCGTATGTGTATGTATGTGTGTGCCTGTGTTCATGCATGTGTGCGTGCATGTGTGTGCTCGTATATGTGTGCATGTATGTGTGCCTGTGTGTTCATGTGTGTGCATGCGTGTGTGCCCGTATATGTGTGTGCATGTGTGTTCATGTATGTGCACATGCACGTGTGTGCTTGTATGTGTGCATGTATGTGCGTGTGCCTGTGCGCACGTGTGTGTGCATGGATGTGTGCGTGTGTGCATGTGTGTGCATGTTTGGGTGCATGCATGTGTGTGCACACGTGTGTGCCTGTGTGTATGCACATATGTTTGCCTGTACGTTTGTGAGCACGGTCGCCTTTCTGACCCTTGGTGATGGGGGCTGTCCAGGCGGGCAGGGTCTCAGCCTGGCCTCTGCGTGCCCTTGCAGGCCCGTGTCATCCTGGAGAAGGCCACCAAGGTGAACTTCAAGCAGGTGGATGACCTGGCAAGCGTGTGGTGTCAGTGCGGGGAGTTGGAGCTCCGACACGAGAACTACGATGAGGCCTTGCGGCTGCTGCGAGTGAGAACAGGCCCAGGTTGTGGGGTGGGGGCTGCAGGTTGTACGGCCGGGGCCCAGGACAGCCCCTGAGCGCCTCCCCGGCCACTGTCTGCCCCTGCAGAAGGCCACGGCGCTGCCTGCCCGCCGGGCCGAGTACTTTGATGGCTCAGAGCCCGTGCAGAACCGCGTGTACAAGTCGCTGAAGGTCTGGTCCATGCTCGCCGACCTGGAGGAGAGCCTTGGCACCTTCCAGGTGAGCTGCCTGTGGCTGGGGAGGGACGGGGCCCCAGATTCAGCTGCAGAACCACCTCTGACCTGTCCCCATCCCCGCCCCCATAGTCCACCAAAGCCGTGTATGACCGCATCCTGGACCTGCGCATCGCGACACCCCAGATCGTCATCAACTATGCCATGTTCCTGGAGGAGCACAAGTACTTTGAGGAGAGCTTCAAGGTGAGGGGCTGGGGCAGACCCGGAGGCCCCTGATGGTGGTGTCCCCTCCCCCAGGGAGCCTCGGCACCTTACAAGTCCGCTGGGGCTTGTGTGACACAGTATACAGACTGGGTGATTTAAACAACAGAGATTCAGCTTCTCCCTGTCCTGGAGGCTGAAAGTCCAGGATGGAGGCGTGGGCAGGGCTGGTTCCTCCCGAGGCCTCTCTCCTTAGCTTATAGGCAGCCACCTTCTCCCTGTGTCTTTGTGTAGCCTTCTTTTTGTGTGTGTCACTTTCGAAATTTCCTCTTCTTAAAAGGACATCAGTCATAATGGATTAGGCGGCCCCTAACGACCTCAGTTTAACTTAGTGATCTCATCTTCAAACGAATCTACCTTCTGAGGTACTGGGGGTTAAGATTTCAGCATATGAATGTTGTGGCGGGGCACAGTTCATTCAACAGCAGGCACGGAGTTCTACTTCCGTGTGCACCCGTGACTTGTGGGGAGGGTGTTGGTGCCAGTATGTGCGGGCTGTCCCTGCCCCGCTGCTCAGGAGATGGCTTGTGGGGTCCATGGGGTGGGTTGTGTGTCTCCATGGCAAGGCCCTGTCCCGCGGCCGGAGCAGTCATGTTTGTGTGTGTTTCTATGGATCGTGTGGGCATTTTACAGATACACAAATGGGGAGGTCGTACATGCACATGTGTGCTGCTGCCTGCCCCTCTGCCTGGGGTTATGGCCTTCTCCCTGGGGATGGGCAGCCAGTATCAGCGGAGCTGGGGAGCCACCCACCTTCACCCGTCCCCCATCACGTCACCTCCTATGGGGTCAGACTGCTTAGCAGGTCCCATTGCACCCCTGTTCTTGGGGTTCTCGCAGAGGGAGACAGTGCAGAGGACAGACCCCAACAACTGCCATTAGGGACAGGGAAGGGCCCCGAGGGAGACCCCAGCGGGCTCCCTACAGACGTCACCCAAGGACATCCCGGGTGCCTGGTGGTCTCTACCTACAGACTCTTACGTATGACCGTCCCTCTGGTAACAGGCGTACGAGCGCGGCATCTCGCTGTTTAAGTGGCCCAACGTGTCCGACATCTGGAGCACCTACCTGACCAAATTCATTGCCCGCTATGGGGGCCGCAAGCTGGAGCGGGCGCGGGACCTGTTTGAACAGGCTCTGGATGGCTGTCCCCCAAAATATGCCAAGAGTGAGGCGGGCAGACGGCATGGGAGGGCAGGCGGGCTGGGTTTCTGCCTGGTCCTGGCTGACCGTGCTTCCCTCTTCCCTCTGCCCCGCCCAGCCTTGTACCTGCTGTACGCACAGCTGGAGGAGGAGTGGGGCCTGGCTCGGCATGCCATGGCCGTGTACGAGCGTGCCACCAGGGCTGTGGAGCCCGCCCAGCAGTATGACATGTTCAACATCTACATCAAGCGGGCGGCCGAGATCTATGGGGTCACGCACACTCGCGGCATCTACCAGAAGGCCATTGAGGTACCCACTGCGGGAGTCCAGGCCGGGGCCGGAGGTCCCTGAGCAGATGGAAGGGGTCCAGGCAGGTGGGAGGGGCTGGGGAGGAGCCTTCTGGAAGCACAGGGATGGCCATGGTGTGTTGGGAGCCCCGACCTACCCTGGCCTCATTCCTGGCCTCCCCAACCCTGGTGTCCAGGTGCTGTCGGACGAGCACGCGCGTGAGATGTGCCTGCGGTTTGCAGATATGGAGTGCAAGCTCGGGGAGATCGACCGCGCCCGGGCCATCTACAGCTTCTGCTCCCAGATCTGTGACCCCCGGGTAGGGCTGGGGGTTGGGGAGGGATGGGCATCAGGGTTGGGGGTGTGGCAGAGTCAGCCACCTCACGGGCACACACACCCACCCCTGCCCTGCCCTGCCCCCCACACAGACGACCGGCGCGTTCTGGCAGACGTGGAAGGACTTCGAGGTCCGGCACGGCAACGAGGACACCATCAAGGAGATGCTGCGTATCCGGCGCAGCGTGCAGGCCACGTACAACACACAGGTCAACTTCATGGCCTCGCAGATGCTCAAGGTCTCCGGCAGTGCCACGGGCACCGGTGAGCCGCCCCGGCTGGCTGGGTCCCTGATCCAGGGCATCTCAGCCCGGCCTGACCTGGGCTTTCTGGGTCTGGAGCCTCAGGTCCTGATGGGAACCTCCTTGAGGGCTGAACCATTGCCTGGGGGACTGGGACAGTGTGGCATCTGATGTGTGGTAGGGGCCCCCGTGGTGCTGACCCCCTGCTCCCGCCCCCTAGTGTCTGACCTGGCCCCCGGGCAGAGCGGCATGGACGACATGAAGCTGCTGGAACAGCGGGCAGAGCAGCTGGCGGCTGAGGCGGAGCGCGACCAGCCCTCGCGTGCCCAGAGCAAGATCCTGTTCGTGAGGTGAGGGTGGATCCTGGGATGGGACAGGACTGGGACAGGTCCCGAGGGGGCCTAGGGTGGGGAACTGAGGCAGCTTGGCCTGTCCCCAGGAGTGACGCCTCTCGGGAGGAGCTGGCGGAGCTGGCACAGCAGGTCAACCCCGAGGAGATCCAGCTGGGCGAGGACGAGGACGAGGACGAGATGGACCTGGAGCCCAACGGTGAGGCCTGGCGGGGATGGGGATGGGGGCAGGGCCAGGGCAGGCCTCCGGGGACAGGCCACCGCCAGGAGGGTGACTGGCTCCCGCCTTCCCCACAGAGGTTCGGCTGGAGCAGCAGAGCGTGCCAGCCGCCGTGTTCGGCAGCCTGAAGGAAGACTGACCCGTCCCCCGCTCCCCTCCCCAATACAGCCACGTTTGTACATCAAGGTTTGAGCCTCCTTCCTGCTGCCCAGGTGCCCGAGGGAGGGCAGCTCAGGAGTGCCTGGCCCTGGGCCCGGATTGGCTGCTGTGGGAGGTGGGGCGGCTGGGCCCTAGGCCAGACGCCACCCGGCCTCACCCCGCAGAGCCAGTTCTGGACTCGAGAGGCCAGTCCCTCCGCTGCCTGGGGCCTTGGAGTGGGTCCTGCCCGGAAACTTCCTTGAGCCTCTGCAGCCTGGGAAGGGCAGTCCGGCCCGACTGCCCAGGTCTTGCTAGCCCCTGCCTCTCAGAGGCCTTGTGTGGCACCAGGCAGCTACCCCCTCCCTGGGGTGGCACCCGCTCTCTGCTCCCCACCAGGGACTGGCCCTTGCCCTCGAGTCTTGGAGTCAGGCAGGCTCTGGCCCAGCTCTGGGAACTGATTAGTAAGACGCTTCTGTGCCTGGAGGGGGGCTGGGTGCCAGACCTCGTGCACTGCCCCAGACCAGGGCGTGGTCCTTAGTCCTAAGCCTGGGAAGCCATTAGTGGACTCTAGGCTATTAAGGGGTTTTAAGCATCAAGGGATATAATCAGATTTGTGCTTCGGACGGGTTACACAGGCTGCTGTGTGGGCAGGAGGCAGCTGGGGACATGGGGAGGCCCAGGCCATTGGCTTGGACTTTGCGGGGAGGTGACAGGGCTGGAGAGAAGTGAGTGAGACAGGAGGGGAGGGCCGAGCTTCGTAGAACTGGGCGGCAGCTGGGAAGCCAGTGCCAGCCTGGGTTGCAGGGCAGGCTTTGCATCTGAGACACCCAGGCAATGCCAAGGGGGGCAACCGGATTGTCAGCTCTCAAACCCGGAATCGCTGGCCCAGAGGTAGATGCCAGGCCTGAAAACACCAGGCTGGCCAGGGTAGACAAGATCAAGTTAGAAGTTGGCCCCAGGCCAAACACTGGTTAGGGCCCGTAACAGCCACACAGAAGAGGAGAATCCAGCAAGTGGGGGTGGCCGAGGCTGCAGGGCCAGTCGGAAGCCTGGAGCCGGAGAGATCAGTTAAGAGGCAGCTTCGAAACAGCCCTGGTGGGGGGCTAGGGGTGATGGCAGGAAGGTGGGGCCCTCAGACCCTGGCTGAAGCTGCTTTAGGGGATTATGGGGGTTGAAGACACGAGTGGGTTCGAGAAAGAACAGGAGACTGAAAACATAGCCAGGGAGTGTGGGACCCTGGCCAGCCTCGGAGGGGACAAGGCTCAACTTCTCTTTAAATTATTTTATTCAAGAAGTGGGGGAGGACAGACAAGGAGACTGAGCTGAGCCCTGAGTCCCTGAACCTCCCAGCTCAGCCCCCACAGCAGGACTGGACTCAAAGTCAGAGGGTGGAGACTCCAGCCCCACCCAGACACGGCTGGGGACAGACAGGACCCAGGAATACCGACTGACTGTCCTCCGGGGGGCGGCGGCCACAGCACACAGGGCCCGGCCCGTGGACTGCCCGGGTGGGGCTATTTGGGGGTGCTGCCGCCCTTCTTGGGAGTGGTGGGTTTCTTGCCCTGCCAGAGGTGTCCCTGGATGGTGAAGGCATCGACGCTCATGGACATGGTCTTGGCGGGGATCTGGGTGAAGCGCTTGCGGTCCGAGTTGTACTTGTAGATGCCTTCCACCATGGCGGGCGTGACGGTCCGGGGCCCGTACCCCGCCAGCCGCGACAGCTCCTCCGTCTCCCCCGACAGCGTGTAGAGTGCCCGGAACTGGCAGCTCGAGTCGCGAAAGAGGATCAGGAAGTGGTTGGCCTTGCTTTTCTCGATTTCCTGGGCAGGAGTGCCGGAAATGGTCAGCCGGCCAAGCCAGGCCACCTACCCACCCGCCAGCCCCCAACTCCCACGTGTGGGCGGGCTCACCTCCAGAATGCGGTTCTTCTGCGGTTCGTTCACCTTGCCCGCCAGGCAGCAGTGTGACAGGGCGTTGTGGATGATGAACTTGTTAGACTTGGCGCTGGGCTCCTTGTACAGCCGTGGACCTAGAGAGTGAGGCGGGGGCGGGGCGGGGAGGGGGGCGGCCAGGGACAGCAGGAATGAGCAGGGGCCATGGAGGAGGGCGCCTGTTGCTCCCCACATCACCCAGAGCCCCCGCTCACCTGTGTACTCGGGCACTGACGCTGGGGAGGAGGCATTGCTGCCATTTTCCCAGTCCCGTTCGCGGCTTCCAGGCAGGCGGCTTGGGGACATGAGACCCGACGGGGAGGGAGCCCTGCAGTGGGGGAAGGATGGGATGGAGGTGTGGTCAGAGATGGGAAGCTTCCCGAGGTGAAGAGGGGCCAAGGAAAAGAAGGGCCATGGCTGGGCATCGTGGCTCACGCCTATAATCCCAGCACTTTGGGAGGCCAAGGCGGGCAGATCAGTTGAGGTCAAGAGTTTGAGGCCAGCGTGGCCAACATGATGAGACCTCGTCTCTACAGGCACAGGTAACCCCAGCTACTCGGGAGGCTGAGGCATGAGAATCGCTTGCACCCAGAAGGCAGAGGTTGCAGTGAGCCAAGATTGCACCACTGCACTCCAGCCTGGGCGACAGAGTGAGACTCCCTCTCAAAAAAACAAAAAATGAAAAGGTGAGCCCCACACACTGCAGAGGAGGCAGTATACACTACAAGTCCATGCAGCGCGCCATCCTGTCCTCCTCCCTCAGGAACACCCGGCACTCAGGTGCACCGAGGCACACGCTTGGGTCCTGTCTGCCAGGTACAGACTATCCCCCATGCACACGTGCCCACAGGCGTCCCTCCATCTCTTCATGGCATATCCATACTCTCGAGCCATACCGCCCTGGAGGTTCACCCAGATGTCTGCACACCTCCCAGGCTCTGAGAGGCCACCCAGCACATGACCACCCCCCCCAGCCGTGCAGGCTGAACTCACCGAGACGTGGGCCTCTTCACCCCGAGGTTATTGTGGGCCTCGTTGGCCACAGTGGACAGTGACAGGGTGGACTGGGAATAGATTTTGCTCAGCCGAGAGCCTGGGGACAGAAAGTGCAGGTCAGTGCCCACCAGAAGCCCCCTGTCCTCCACAACACCCGGTCCAGCAGGCTTTGGGGGGAACACAGGAGGAGTCAGCCCTGCCCAAGACCCGTCGGCCCTCTGCAGCCCCCTATGGAGGGCCCCCTATGAGGGAGGATGCTCTGCCCAGCAGGTGGTGGGGAGCAGCACTGGGTCAGCCCCTACTGGCAACACCTCACCCCATATTCCCAAAGGTTATCCATTAAGCCACAGAAGAAAGACCCCTCACCCCACTGTACCCCACATCCCTATGGAAGTTTTTTTTTTTTTTTTGAGACGGAGTCTCGCTCTGTTGCCCAGGCTGGAGTACAGTGGTGCAATCTTGGCTCACCGCAACCTCCACCTCCCAGGCTCAAGCGATTCTCCTGCCTCTGTCTCCCGAGTAGCTGGGACTACAGGCGTGCCACCATGCCCGGCTAATTTTTGTATTTTTAATAGAGATGGGGTTTCACCATGTTGGCCAGGCTGGTCTTGAACTCCTGACTTGTGAGCCATGCGCCTCAGCCTCCCAAAGTGCTGGGATTACAGGCATGAGCCACCGTGCCCAGCCCCCTATGGAAGTCTTTACCCAAGAGACACCCAGAGGCCCCCTGTCACCCCACATACCCGTCCCCTCCCTGCACCCCTGCTTACATCTCCCTCCCCCTCCCCCCTTACTCACGGGGGCCTCACCCAGTGAGCCCCGGAAAGGGCACTGGGCAGGCCCCGTCCCTCAAGGGTCCTCACCCAGCAGGCCGCGGGCTGGGCTTCGTGCCAAGGCCGAGTCGTCACAGCAGCCAGAGCGAGGCCGGGGGGCCCTCCGCCCGCCCCGACCTGGGCCCCCGGACCCCGCAGCCCGGGGCCGCAGCACCTTATCGAGGTCGTCCATGAGCTTCAGCTGGGCCCGGCGCTCGTACTCCTGCCGTGTGAAGTCCCCCTTCCGGGGACCCACCTCCTCCTCAGCTGGAGCCCGGGCAGCAGGGGCTGGGGTCGCCATCGGGGCTACGGGGACTGCGGACACAGGCGGGGCTGGGCTGGGGGCCTCCTCTTGGGCCAGCCTGCAGATCACAGGGAATCGGCATCAGAACCACTCACGGGGTCCGCGGTGGTAGACAGGCCAAGGAGCAGCCGACCTGGGCAGGCCCGGTCTCACCTCGCGGCCTCCTCCCTCCGCTGTTCCTTCTCCGCCTCCTGCCACTGCTTGCGCCGCCGCGCCTCCTCCACTCGCCGCTGCTGCCGCTCCAGCAGGCTGGCCCGCTTTTGGGCCATCTCATCCTCAGGCTTGTCTTCATCCTGGGGACAGATGCCGAGTCTAGCTAGCCACCCCCTCCCCCAGCATGGCTGGAGGCCCATCTTCCATCCACCCAGCCTGCCCGCCACCCACCTATGCTTTCGTTTTCATCACTGTTCTAAATACACTTAGTTGGTGCCTACTGTATGCACAGCCACACTAAGTACTGGGACACATACAGGGATGGGGTACACTGGGTGCTGCTCACATACGCAGTGCTTAACCCAACGGGGAAGACAAAGGCAGCAGACAGCAGTGAGTGCCAGCAAAAGCTCGTGTTGGGCAGACACACTACACTGCGGGAGGACCCTGGCCTGGGCTTTGGACACCCAGGAAGGCTTCCCGGAGGAACTACCCTGTAGAATGATCAGAACTTAACTAGGTAGGCATACAGGGGTATGGAGCAGCGCGTTCCAGGCAGAGGCGACGGCTAGTGCCGAGGCCCTGAGGCTGGAACAAACCTATTGAAGGGCACGGAAGTACAGGGGGGCCAGTGTGGCTGGGACACAGAGCTGAGGACAGTGGCGCAGGACTAAGTCAGGCTCACACCTGTAATCCCAGCACTTTGGGAGGCCAAGGCTGGTGGATCACCTGAAGTCACGAGTTTGAGACCAGCCTGGCCACCATGGCAAAACCCTGTCTCTACTAAAAATACAAAAGTTAGCTGGGTGTGGTGGTGTAGTCTTGTAGTCCCAGCTACTCAGGAGGCTGGGACAGGAGAATCACTTGAACCCAGGAGATGGAGGTTACAGTGAGTCAAGATCACGCCACTGCACTCCAGCCTGGGCCGCAGAGCACGATTCCGTCTCAAAAAATAAAAAATAAAAAAAAATGAGCATAGCCCAAAGCCCTGGGGAGGACTTTCATTCTAAAAGCAAAGGTAAGGGGAGCAGTCCACTGCTCAGTGGAAAATGGCCCGGGATGGAGGCGGGCAGCAGAGGCCAGTCGGAAGGTGATCCTAGGTGTCCAGATGAGACACGGTGGTGGCCCCAGCTGGGAGAGCCATGGGAATGGAGAGACAGTGGACACAGGGAAGGGCCAGGAAAGGAGCGTGCTGGGGGTGAGGGGGTGAAGGAGAGGATGAAAAAGAAGATGCCCTGAAGATCCTGGTCTTGTCCGTCCATCTGTCCATCACCCACCCATGCAACCAGCCACTCATCCATCTGTCTATCCATCACTCCTCCCTGTTTCTCCACTCCTCCCCACATCTATCTATCCCCCTTGTCCGGCCACCCATACCTTGTTTGGGAGGGAGATGACTGGGCCAGCCCCCACTGGAAACCCCTCACCCCCAAACATACCTGAGGGCCTCACTCGTTAAGCCACAGAGGGAGGACCTCTCACCCCACTGCACCCCTACAGCCCCTTGTGGAAGTCCTAACCCAACAGACAACGTCAAATCCCATCTGAGGCTCCTGTTACCCCACATACCTGCCCCACACCATGCAAATGTCCCTGTCCCTATACCCATGGAGGCCTTACCCAGCCACTCACACCTCTTCTGTCCACTCACACCTGGTTCCCCATCCATCCCCCACCC